ATATGGGAGTTTCCAGAAATTAGGGACCCTTTCTGGGTTGGTCATAATCTTTATCCTTCATCTTAATCTACCGAACGACACCGCTGTCACATATCTTTTGAGAAAAAGGATTATCCTTTCGCGTCTTCTTTCGCGNNGGGCTGGCGGCTGCCATCTTGCGGCGTCCATCTTTGGGAGCTACAGTCACCAGCGGCCCTCTCGCTCTCGTACAACTCAGCTTCTGGTTTCGATTGTCAACTCCTCACATGTGTCGGGCTGGGGCTGGGGACCACCCCAAACATCCCCAAACTCTTTGTGTTGCTGAGCCGGAAATTTTCAGAAGATGAAGTTGGAGAATAAAGCCATGATCCCAAACGCTGCCAGCGAACCGGTTCAATCCAAGCAAAGATGTCATGGGTCCTTTCTTCCAGCTCCTTCAGAAGCATGTGTTTCTGCTGGGCGGCTTGACCTGCCCAGCCAGCTGACAAAGTGCCAGTGTGCTCGAGAGACCCTGGCAACGCCACTGAGTTGAAGACATCACCTGCTCCGCTGCATCCTCATTGCAGATTGATGCAGATTCATTTGACCCAACAGCTGCGGAAAAAGACACACATGTTCACACAAATCATACTACAACAGTGTTCGCGCAGCCAAAACTGATGCAGAGACAAGCACAAGCACAGCAAGCAAAGCCGGCAGAAAGACGAACCAGCAATGATCTCCCATTTGCCCTCGGCACAGCCCGAAATGCCGTCTCCACGCGATCCACCACTGCCCTCACCGATACGACTTCTGGAAGCGAGCGCGTGCAGAACGTCCTGCCACACTTGCACACGACTGTGGTCGAAGGCTGCCTCAAACAGGGCTCGGCTCCAGCCTCCGAACTTCTTCGGTTCGCATCGGCGAGGATCTGCTACGATCAAGGAGCGATCGTATGCCATGAGAATGTCCTCACACATTCACGTTCATCTAGCCCACGAGTCACGAACATGACTGAAACGAAGCTTGGGGACGGCCGAACCAGAGGCTTACGTCGTGGAATAAGGGGGTGACAGGGAAAGCAAATGTCTTGCTTCCAACGTTTCCAATGTCCAACTTCTTTTTAGGGAGTTTGAAATCATAATAGAACAGTTAAGCCCCGCGTGGCTTCACATTGCAGGAATAGACTCAAGGAACAGATCCCAGTGACGTCTTCAGGCTTCAAGCAGAGTGCTCATGCGGCCGCCTTGCTCCATGTAGTTAATTCTGTCGTCCTTGATCTCCTTCTTGGACGCCTCGTCAATGTACTTCTGGTAGTAAGCAACAATGCCCTTCGCTACAGCCTGAGATCACGTGGCATTCAGCTCAACAACAAGTACTCCAGCCGAGCCTGGCGGAGCGCATAGATCTGGCCCGTGAAGCCGCCTCCTTTCACCCGCAAGCGGATGTCAACCTCAAGGACTTCAGAGAAACCTTTTAGCTGGGACTTTTCGGATTGAGGCCGCCTTGCTACAGCGATCCTTTCCCAGAAGCAGCAGAGGCTCGTAGACCTGTGGGCGACTTTCAACCCACAGAACACCTTCGGGCAAATGTAGGACAAGTGCCTTGACACGCAAGATGTCAGGCTTCACCGTGTGCAATGGGCAGCCATTCAACCGCACCTGGACGCGAATTTGCGCTGGCTTCGTCCACTTAACCAGAAGCTGGCCTGACCACTGCCGGTGCGCACGAGAGCCACAGCCACGGCAGTCTTCTTCCGGCCGAAGCACTGGCAGAGACCCGACAATCTGCAAAGTACATCCCTGTGTTCGGACTTTGCAGCCTGAACCTTTTCCTGCTTTCCAGACGGTGCTTGGGCGGCCTTCGCTGACCAGGCGGAACATCACATTCCATGCTGCCAGCATGGTACTGAGGCCGGTACCTCCTCCATTGCTTCAGGGCTGGCAGAGGGTCATGAGAGCCGCTGCGGCCACACGCGTACTTGTTGCGCTTCTCGTTGCAAGCCGACTCTACCCCCTTCAGCCCATGACACAGGCAGCAAAGCCAGATCCGTCTTCACTTTTGCGGGCTGGCGGCTGCCATCTTGCGGCATCCATCTTTGGGAGCTACAGTCACCAGCGGCCCTCTCGCTCTCATGCGGCCATGCTGGCTAAACCTCCTTGTCAGGAAGCTGAAATGGCTGAAAGAGCTGTTGCTGCTGCTCGCAGTTACAGCTAGTCCTGCGAACTTAATGGCAATGCTTCGGTGGCCTAGAAGCACTTTGCTTCTCTAGTCAGTAGTCTCATGCAGGTTTGACGGCGTGACAACCAAATCACGGTATGCGCCTCTTGCCAAAATACCCGGTCTGCTGGTCGGCCTCTCTCTGCCTGCCCAAAGAAGCATTTTGGCAAGCAGCTCATTCTTCCCAAAGTTCTCATGGCTGTGGAATCGTGTGGAATCCGCACTTGCCAGTGTCATGCTTGCCTCCCAGAAACAGAGCTGAGCTCGCGGGAAGGTAAGCATGCAAAGGAGTGCGCCCGCGAAACAGCTCTCCACTCCAGCCTCGCAGAAATTATCGTCATGGCTCACATGCAAAGCAAGTCAATGCTCACTGAATCTCACTGATGTTGGCGTTGGAAATCGACGACACCTTCTTATGCTGTCTGATCCGGAGAGTCAAGATCGCACATATCGCACACTTGATCCCGAGTGTCTGGAACGATGACTGACTGTTGCTGGTTCCCACAAGCGGCACGGGGTGAGTATGTGCTGAATTCTTTGTTTTGGTCTGGCATGGGTGTGGAACAGGTATGTAACGGGCATGGAACGGACACGCAGCGCAACATGATTCTTTGAGATATTGCATTCGTGGGTCTGGAATCTTGTTGAACCATTCCAGATCAGAAACTAGGTGGGCAGCACAACAAGAAAACCGTTTCACGCGCAACTCCTTATCTATGAAATGGGCTGGAGAACTGTTGGAACGACTTCCCCACAAACGACCTTCCCTGAAATGACCGAAACCATTTCCTAGATTCCTAGATGGGCTGGCCTAGGCCGCGCATCTTGAGTGCATTCTGGGTGTGCCGTGCTGCGCCTGGTGTCTGCGTCTTGGGAGGCCGAGGCCCCGGCCAGGTGCAGCCTGTTCAAACGCGCCGCGCCTTTCTAGAGGTTTCACTTTGGCACCATGCCCGGATGTTCCCCACCCCGCTCCAGGGCTACTAGGGAGTCGGGCGGTTGGATGCCCCTTGTCTCCAAGGAGTTTCGCGTTACTCCTGCCAATCCGCTGCCCAGTCTTATCCTCCTTCGTTTCGACGGTACTTCATGTACTTCTGGCTTGCTTGGACATGGAGTGGTTCTGGCAGGGTTGCTGTGACAAGGAGCCGTATTATCCGTATTCCATATTGTGGAGCCTGGGTCCGCAGACTCCATTCTCACTGACATCCTTCGTGGTGGATCTCTCAACATTCAGCTGCGAGGCTTTACAGCTGGGCGAAGTGCGATCAGAGCGGTGTTGTTGGCGGAACGCCACGCGCTTGCGTGGTGTTTGGCGTGTTTTGCCCTGCTGGCAGCGGATACTTAGAGCCCACAGCCTCTGCTTTAGGGTCTCTCAAATCTGAGCTACTCCTCCACTCCTACCCCGGAATCCATTAAAACCAGAGCGTCGGCGAGCGAGAAGAGTGGGAGCATTTTCCTACCAAACCAGAATCCATTAAAATCGGAGGGTCGGCGGGCGAGAAGGGCGGAAGGCACGGAAGGGGTGGAAAGGCTGTCATTGGACTCACATTAAATACTTATCCTTTCCTACCATAATCCATTAAACTCACATTAAATACCTATCCAATCCTACCAGAATCCAGTAAATCTGGAGGGTCGGCGGGCGAGAGAAATGGGAGGCAGCAGGCGAGGAGGATGGGAAAGCAGAAAGGCTCGAGAAGGGTGGGAGGGATGCAGAGGCTGTCGTTGGACTCGCGTTAAATACCTATCCACTCCTACCGGAATCCATGCTGGGTGCGGCGAGCGCGGTGCTGCCACCATAACCAGAATCCATTAAAGCCGGAGGGTCGGCGGGCGAGAAGGGCGGAGGGGGCGGAAGTGGTGGAAAGGCTGTCATTGGACTGGACTCAGTACTTCATGCGAGCCCAAGGACAGCCCAATCCCCCCTGACCCTCCCGGCCCCCACCGCCCGCGGATTCGAGACAGGATTTTGGTAGGTACCTGGTAGGGATGCTGAGGTATTTAATGCGAGCCCAAGGACAGCCCAACCCCCCCTGACCCTCCCGGTCCCGACCGCCCGCCCATTCGAGCCGTATATCTGGATTTTGTTTGGGATGCTTAGGTATTTCATGCGAGCCCACGAGGATAGCCCCACCCTTCACCGAAGTCTCGATCCTCGATTCGAGCCGTATATATGATTTTGGTAGGGATGCTGAGGTATTTAGCGCGAGCCCAAGGACAGCCAAACCCCCGCTGGCCCTCCCGGCCCCCACCGCCCGCCGATTCGAGCCGCATATTTGGATGTTGGTAGATACCTGCTAGGGATGCTTAGGTATTTACTGCGAGCCCAAAAGACAGCCCAACCCCCACTGACCCTCCCAGACCCCACCGCCAGCCAATTCGAGCCGCATATTTGAAATTTCGTAGGTACCTCGTAATGCTTAGGTATTTACTGCGAGCCCAAGGACAGCCCAACCCTCGCCGATTCGAGCCGTATATTATTTGGATTTTGGAAGGTACCTGGTAGGGATGCTGATATTTAATGCGAGCCCAAGGACAGCCCAACCTTCCCTGACCCCAATTCGAGCCGTATATTTGGATTTGGGTAGGGATGTTCAGGTGCGAGCCCAACGACAGCCCAACCCCGCCCGACCCTCTCGGCCCCCACCGCCCCCCGATTCGAGCCGTATATCTGGATTTTGTTCGGGATGCTTAGGTATTTAATGCGAGCCCAAGGATAGCCCAACCCCTCACCGAACTCCAACCTTCAATCCGAGCGGTATGTCTGGATTTGGGTAGGGATACTTGAATATTTAACTGACCCTTCCGGCTCCCACCGCCCGCCGATTCGAGCCGTATATCTGGATTTTGTTCGGGATGCTTAGGTATTTAATGCAAGCCAAAGGACAGCCCAGCCCCTTCATGGATTTTGGTAGGGATGCGTAGGTATCCTCACCGAATTTCCGGTCCTCACCACCCTCACCGAATTCCGAGCTGTATATATATATATATATATGGATTTTGGTAAGGATGTTTATATATGGATTTTGGTAAGGATGTTGAGGTATAGGTTGGTGGTATCCTCTACCACGTTTTGAGGGGGTGTCTTTAGGCTTTATATTATTCCCCCAAGGGTCTTGAAGTATACACCAAGCATCGCCAAACAGTCTTCAATTATACCCCAAACGGTCTTCAATTACACCCCCAAACGGTCTTGCATTATACCCCCAAACGGTCTTCCATTATACTCCGAACGGTCTTCCATTATCCCCCCAAACGGTCTTCTATTATACTCCGAATGGTCTTCCATATACCCCTAAAAGTCTTCCATTATACCCCCAAACAGTATTCCATTATACTCCGAACGCTCCTCCATTATACCCTAAAAGGTCTTCCATTACACCCCCAACCGGGGATTGTTTGAGGGCGATGGTCATAGCGATAGAGGGTCTATCTAAGTTACCACGGTGAAAGGGTACAATTTGCAAGAGGAGGAGGGTACAATATACCAGGGTGAGAGGGTATAATTTACCGGGGTGAGGGTATAATTCACCAGGGTGAGAGGGTATAATATACCAGGGTGAGAGGGTATAATTCACAGGGTGAGAGGGTATAATATACCAGGGTGAGAGGGTATAATTCACAGGGTGAGAAGGTATAATATACCAGGGTGAGAGGGTATAATATACCAGGGTGAGAGGGTATGATATGCCAGGGTGAGAGGGTATAATATACCAGGGTGAGAGGGCATAATTTACTGGGTTGAGGGTATACTTCACCAGGGCGAGAGGGTATAGTGTACCAGGGTGAGAGGGTATGATATACCAGGGTGACAGGGTAAGAGGGTAGAATATACCAGGGAAAGAGGGTATAATATACCAGGGTGAGAGGGTACAATATACCAGGGTGAGAGGCTATAATTCATTATAAATAAAACTTGTTAGAGTCTGTTAGAGGGTACCCCCAAGATATGGGTATTCAATGCGAGCCCAAGGACAGCCCAACTCCTCACCGAACTCCCGACCCTCGCGACCCTCCGGATCCTGCTATACGGATAGGCCGACCCTCAGGCATTTATAGGTATAAAAGTTGTGGATGCCAAAACTTTGCTTCTGTACGTTGTTGCTGCTAGCAGGAACCACGTACTGGTAAAGGATATTAAAGGATAGAAGCAAACTAATTACGGACAGCGACTGTGCAACAAGCGACCTTTCGGTCGGTACGACCTTTCGGTCGGGCCCGCGCATAAGGGCCTGGAGAGTTGCGCGGCCACGCTGCTGCCACATCTTGGGGTCGGCGGCACTGGCGGTAGCCATTCAATATCCGGCCTGGCCGTCGTGGTCCAGTGCGGATGCACGCCTAGCTAAGCTATGCTTATACGGGGTGACGCCAGTACCGCCGACCCTAGGTTTTGCTGATGGGTTCCACCTTTAATTCACCCTTATTTCCCTATGTCACCCTATTTCGCCCTTATTTCACCTTTAATTAATTCAACCTTATTCACTTTTATTTCACCCCAGCTTCGCCTTTGTTTGACCCTTACTTCTTCACGTTTTTGTGTTTTATTGTTATTTCACCCCCCCCCCTATTTCGCCATTATTTCACCATTACTTCTTCATGTTAAAGTCTACTCTAATTTCACTTTTATTTCATCTGCACTGCTCA